GGTTTAGGGCAGTGCAGGGAGTAACAGGCAGGATGGTTTGGGGCAGCAGTGAGACAAATGGATTAAAAGTATCAACTAGAGGAGGAGCTGTGTGACTGTTCACATGCCTGCATTACAAGAGTACAGGCAATTGATTTTCTATGGAATGTGCACAACTTAAGATATTTTCAGGCTTAACACACCTGACTGTGCACATGTCGGCCTGAAACATCTTCAGCTAACAGCAATGCTTAAAATTTTGAACTTTGAGAGTGAGACTCTACCAAGGAAAGGTAGCAAGCATGTAAAGCACAATCCACTGAGTTGGAGACAGATAGCCAGCCAAAGAGAGGGACCAACTTACAGAGCCTGTTTGGAGACATCTTGCAAAGATTCCCAGGGGGACATCTGCTTGGGGCTCTTCAGCACGCATGGGGCAAACACAATACTCAAGCTGTTGGGTGACATCCGGTTGTAATTCTCATACAGGCATACCCTGCAAAGAGAAGAATGAACCAAAACGGAAAAAAAAAAATCAATACTGTTTTAGATCACATTTGATCACTTTATTTGTTGTGTTGCAACAATTCCACCAGAAGGCTTTTGACAAGTGTACAGGATTTACAAGACCCTGGACACATGCAGGATTGAAAAGGGTGGAGACATCCACTAGTGTTTCAGGAGACCTAGAAGTCTTCATATGCTGAGGTACAAAGAGAGTGCCACTGCATTCCTACAAAGCGGTAGAAGATTGAAGATTCTGGAAGGCCCCTGAGGAAACTATCATGGGTGTTGGGGTAACTATAGAACCAAATACACTCAGGTATGCTGATTTTTAGGGATTTCCTTAGCGGTGCCACAAAATCAGTGCTTCATAAACTATTCTGCAATCAAGAAGAACCCTCATACCTGGCCAGGTGGAACACTAGCCTCTCAAAGAGGTCAAAGTTTGCGGTGGGGAGCTTGTTGATGGTGTCCTGGAGGGACAGGAGCCGGCCCCGGTGGTCCGGTATCTCCACCGCTCGCAGGAACTCCTCGTAGAGTTCAAAGGTCAGCAGGGGCTCCGGCATCTCCCGGAAGAAGGACTTGACAACCTGGGCGATGACCAGCATGTTGCAGTTGTCCAGGTCAATCTGGTCCAAATCTGACAAAGCAAGGGACAAAATATGACAAAGATGAATGACCCATGATAACAAAATTTCGGACATTTGTGGCAATCAATCCACTGACTCAACACGACTTGAGTTGTCAAGATTCCTAGTATCCTTTTTCATTAACCATGAATGAATACAAAACAATAATTCAAATAATTCTGAACAAACCTGTTCACTACAAGCATCATTCCAGAGCCAAGAATTTTCCTGATTCAACAATGTCTATTTCTCCATTTGGGATGGGAAATGAACCATCTTCAATGTTTCAACACAAAAATTACCCCCCCTTTCACTTTCCAGAAATTTTCCTGCATGAAGCATTTTTGAGGCCCTGACACCACTAGCCGATAAAAAAATCCAGTCGTCACCTTTGGGATTGGATTCCCCTGCCTGAATAATTTCAAAGCTTTATTCAAACTTATTTCATATTCTGGTTTCTATTCAGGTTAGATTCTGGTTAGATTCAGGTCCTTTCTATCAATGTTGCCACTGCAGATCACTTTTTAAGAAGTGTCCATTATATTCTGGAACCCTTTCCACTGTTATGACCCTCTCGGCTTTCCTCTACTTACCAGGCTCTGTGTTGATGAGGTGTTTAAGTTCCTTGACCTTAGCCTCAGGGCCCGGCCTGCGATAGATACCCTCTGTGAACAGCCCCTTCAGCTCAATGATGCTCAGACAATGCTCAAGGACCTGAGGCATGGGACAACAAGAAATCAGCTGAGTATGGATTCGAACCTAGGACCGCTGGGATACCAAATGGGAGGTCTACCAACTAAGATTTCCAGCATTGATTTAGCAGATTCCTAAACTCTCCTAGCTCTCAGGGTTCTAATGCCTTGTGACAAAAACAGCAACTAAACACTTTCCTCAGAGCAGGTGAAGTGGCCAGGACTGACAACAGGACACAACAGAAAGTACGACCAAAAGTCAAAACCAATGCCATAAAATATTCTTACCATGGGTATGTTGCTGTCTGCCGTTACCAAGGTTTCTAGCCGTGCACCAATCACCTTGCCCGTTACCTTGGCTTGGGGCTTCCCCTTACACAGTATGCTGGTCTTGGTACAACATTTCTTGTGGCAGGTAAACTTACACACTGGAGAAGGGAAACAACACACGTCCGAACAACTTCATTAGGCATTCTCACTTGTTTTTTTGAGAGGCTCAACATGTGTCACTGTTGGAAAGTTTGAAATGATTGATGACAAATAAAGGATTGAATGCAACAGTACACTCCTCATAACATTCACAGGTTTTGGTGACTTTAAGATATTCTGAATCAGTTTGTAATTGTGTCAAGAAAATATGATTCTGTTTAGAGTGTGCTCCAAAGTTCCTCGGCCCCATAAAACTAAAACCTTCAAGAAATTCTGCAGATAAACTCTTAAGAATTGTTGATGTGGGGTCTCTGTGAAGCGTAACTGCTCTTTAGCATGTGATTTCTAACAACACAAATGAATTCACAGTTACAGTTTTCACAGAGAGGGAAAAGCTTACTCCATAATGCAATGCACGCCACTCAAAACTTTCACACAATCCTCCAAACGTGGAAATCTGCTTGTTTCTTACACAAGTCACCCAGGCCCAATGATCGGGATCAACTCAGGGCCAAGCGAGGCTCTTGTAGTCCTCAATCTTCTCCATACCTTGACAGACTTGCCCTTTCTCCATGAGCCAGAGAAACGCTGAACACACCTCGCATGCCGTCGGGATGCTGAACTGGGCGGCTACAAACCGATGTCCCAGGTACTCAAAGACCTCCTCCTTCTCCTTGTCTTTCTTCTTCTTCCTTTGCTCTTTGGACTGCAAGGAAACAAACAATGACGAGAATTGTTCGTTGTCGTAACTCTGAAGTGGACACAGACAGCCCGTTTTGAAGGTGACATAAGAGTATTTGATTGAACATTAGCCAAGCAAGAACACACCTGTCTGCAAGTTCAAATGTGTAGGTATAATATAGTTGCACAGGTCAGGACAGATCGGATAACCATATAAATGTAATTTCTCAAGCGAGATCCCTTGCTTTGAAATTCTGGATAGGTACATATTTTTTTTTAAAAAGAATCCTCAAACCACATACTTTAGACTCCCCAAGAAAGGCCATGTAAATGTGCACACTACTTGAGCTAAATGGGCAAGATTAAGCAATTTTTAGATCAGAGCCTGGACCAAACAAATTAGCAAACGATGCTACATTAACCACAGAATTCTGATGAGATTGCTTTTGTTCATCCTTGACTGACCTTCTTTTCCGGTTTGTACTGCTGGGTGAACTCGTCCAGGAAACCCCTGAAGGCGTTGATGCCCAGCGTGATGGGGAACTGTGTCTTGCTGTTGGACGTCTTGACATGATTGGCCAGTGACGTTTCAAAGGTGGAGATCAGGTCCTTGTACATCAGGGTGGTGGTGTTGCCCTCCTGCAGAGTAAGAACCGTGAAGCCGCTTAGAATAACAATAATAATGTGTTCATTTAAACACTGGACAACAATGTGGCCAAGCTGCAGGCGTAAAGGGGCTCCTCAGACCGCGGCAAATCGTCTTGCATCCACCCAAAAAGCACAGCCAGAGATTGTATGCATTGATTTTTGCAGACGCAGGAAAACTGGAATACCCAGGAAAAAAAAACCCTCTTGGTACAGGAGAGGTTCAACAAACAAACGAATAACGAGCACAGGACAACAGTGATAAGAGGTGAGAGCCTGATGTTCTAGCCACTTGTGCCACCCATCCAAGTGTTTTGATGGAATAAGAGTTCGCTGTGCTGTCGTCAAAAACACCTATGCACTCATTTCAATGTTTACTGTTGGCCTCATACTAGACAATTTGATATATTCTGCAGCACAAAACTGAGCTGCAACAATGAGCTGTCTGGGGTTGGGGGATGTCCTTTCACAACCACCAAGCCTGAGTCATACCTACCTGCTGCATGGCTACTGAGTAGGTGCTGATCAGGTTCAGCCGGAATTCACTCAGGGCTTGTTTGAAGACCATATCCACGGCCGTGTCACTCCCGCCTTTCTTCTTCATCTCATGAATCTAGTCATCCAAATAAAAGTGGATATTGTAGACCACTAACGGGCCAAGTAAGTCGGCTGTCAACTTTTCAAAAATATCTTTCCAGTGTCTCTTTTGGGAAGTTGATGATGACACAATCGGGATAAAACTAAATTTGATGGAACCACATTCCTGTGAATATATTTCAAGGATACATTAATTATTTATTTCTCATTTATACTGGGGAACCCATTCAGTTTATAAAAACTGTTCTCTAAAAGGCCCCAGTTCACAATATTTAAATTCAATAAAAAACATCTATTAAGACGAAAAATACTGACGGAATTAAATTAATAACATCTATGTAATAACATCAATGAGAGCATATATAAAAACACATCCATTCAATGAAAAGGTTTGTGGTAACATCATGCAAGGACATCTCTACACAGTAAACAAAGATGTGTTTAAAAAACTTCCGAAGTAAACGTAAAACGTAAAATATTCTCAGTTTGAAATGGACACAATTTTCATTGAGGTGCTAATCATAAGATGTGAAAGCGAAAATAAGCGGAGAGCCAGTCAAGAAAACAATAAACAATGCATGGCATTTTGGTTGGTAACCTGCTTTTGCTAAACAAATCAATTTGCTGAGCACTTCTATGAATTTGGCCCCTTATCTGTGCTCAGCACCATTTGGTCAGCTCAACGAATACATCCCCTCTACATACCTTGTTGTACAGGAATGTGTCCATCTGTTGCAACTCCCTAGCATCAGACACCAGCTTGTTGGTAGGGTACCTCCACTGCGACATACCGTGGATGCTCATGTTGCTGGAGCCCCCACGGATCTTCTTCCCGCCGACCAGCCCCATGGTGGATCCCGCTGTTCCAGACGACGGCTGCTGTTCCTCCGGAACCCTGCGGTCCAGCTTGAGGGAATGGGGCTTGGGCTGCAGGTTGGCCTTGCCCGGCTTGCTGCTACTACTGTTGCTGCTGCCGTCTGGGCTTAGTCCCAGGACTTCGGCCACGGCCTGCTGGGGGTCTGACTGCTTGCGCATGAAGCGGCGCTTGAAGTGGCGCTTGGCCTTGGCCAGGGCGCTGTCCTTGGGCACAGGGGAGTCCGGTGTGGTAGGCACCGCGTCTTGGTCGGGAGGGAATGGGGAGCGAGGTGAAGGTGTCTGGCTGACTAAGGAATCCTCATCAGAGCGTGGCTCGGTTGGTAACACAACAGAACTAACAGGCTGAGATTAAACAACGAAATTTAAAGTCACCACCGATGCTCCAGTCAAAGTGTTTTGCTGACTAGTAATAATGAAAACAAGGAAAATTACAGCATATTCCAAGCATAAGAAACCAATTCAAAAGTTTTAAACTCTAGCATACTTTTTGAGGCAAACATTTGGCAACTGTTGGTAACATTTTATTATGAACTAATGCACCAAAACAATGGTTTAGAAATTGCTAAGTCCAGGCCAGCAGTTACAAATTGGTAAATTTAAAAAAGAAGTTTCTATTGTTTCCTCGACAATGTAATTATTCAAAACACACATTTGGTATACTTTGCAGTAACATCTAACTAGACTTAACTTCAACTACATGCAACACATAAACCACGGTTAACCATCTTTAACTATAACTATTACCAGTATAATCACTACCCACCTTCAGTTTAATCTCCTGCTTCTCCTCGACTTCCATTTCCTTAGTCTCCATCGATGCCACTTGCCCGTCCGCATCCGTTAACCTTTGATCTTCCTGGTCCTCGGCCTCCTCCAGCGGGTACAGGATGTCTTGCGAGTCGCGGCCCGAGTCATCTTGTGAGTGTCGGTGCTGGTCCTGTTTCCGCTGCATGTGCTCCTGGTAGGCAAAGGCCAGATCCTTCACCCTGGGTGGAGGGACACACCAAAGACGAAAAATCAGATACGAAGCTCGTACAATAAGCTGTGCTCTATTCACGTCACTGACACCAACACTGGCCGTCTTTTGGACACATCCAAAGGGGAATCGTTGTCAAGCACGGGTGAAACGCATACTTTATTCAGCATATTTCTTTTCACCACCAATATTTGTATGGGGGATCACCACTGTGCCAGAACGGACACCAGAATCAGTCAGCTTTTACATAAACAGCAATGCATGCTTTGAATGTTTGTAATCAAATACCCCCAAATCATGGTGGTACATAAAGGTAATTTTGCTGTTTGACAAATCCTCTTTGCATACTGTTTTTCTGAATTTATAACGTAATCCAAAGGAACCAGTTTGTCTGCAGAAACATTCAGTTGTCACAGGCAATGAAAGTTGAAAAACTTACATCGTTCACATGCCTATCAATTTCACTTTACAGCTCCTCCGCCTAGTTTACAAAAACGATATAAGGGTGCTGAACTTGAAGCAAGCAACACCGATGGCAATGGCCACCTCGTTCGTAACGGGGAGTTAACTGTATGGCTTGAAAGTACAGTGCGATTTGAGAGATTATTTACCTGGATCCTGACCTTTGAACCCCGGTCAGTATTGGTGGAGTCTCAGGCGGTTGCTCCTCGTCCGTTATGATGACTGTAGACGTCTTATTGGGTGCCTCGTCATCCAGGAGCAATTCGTCAGAGCCCACAGATCCATCCAGGATACCACTGCTCCTACGTCAAAGAAAAGTTGCCGTTAATGGGCGGCTGACAAGAATGTTATCCTTCGCTGAAGAAATGTACCCTTGGCAGAGGAATACGAAACATCACTGAAATGATTTGCACACTAAGGGCCAGCTTTCCAAAAAGCAGTGTGCTCTCTGGATATTAAAAGATCAATTTTAATCCTTCATTATTGCAAGCGAACAAAAAGACCCCAACTATGGTCTCAAAGTGACCGTTTTTGTTGCAGGAACTAGACTTGCATGAAGCCAGAATGGTCACAACTCAAAGGGATGTACTCAGTAGCATGAGGCTACAGAGCTAAATCAAAGGATTTGAAATCCCCCAAAAACGAGTGAGGCATTCTCATTTACAGACTGGTTCCTGTCCCCACCCTTGCCCCAACTCTTTCTGAAAAACCGATTCAAACGGAAAGATCAGGTACAAGACTGATCCTGCTTTGCATTCGTGACCCTGAGTCTGCCTTTCTGAAACTAATTTGTCAATTCATTTTGTATGTGTCACATATTTAGAACCTATAACAACATGAGGCTGGAATGCACAACACAGTAAATCAAAAATAGGAAACTAGCTCCATGGTTTAGTTTAATTACATCACGGTTTTAATCTTTACAAGTTCTTTCTGGTTCTGTACACCAAATGATATGGAACCTGCATGAGAACCACAAAGTCTACATCATAATGTCTGTGCAATCAACCAGTGAGGCACCAAATCCAACTATTGTCTATGCCTGCAGCTCTTTACTGCGTCTAAGGCAGAATCCAAGCTGTAGCCATTAATCCCTGATTTGGACAGGCTATGACACTCACTCTTCCGATTCCATGGTCCTGGTGCGCTTCCTCTCCATGTCAAACTCTTCCAGGTCATCCGGGGTGAGGATCCCCTCGTCACTCATGGAGGAGTGGGCCTCGTCTCTCTGGGAGGCTGCCGACACCCTCAGCTGCTCCTTGAGTCTCATCTCTTCTTCCTCTTTCTCTCTCAGCAGCTGCCGTTGTCTCTCCTCCTCCTCCAGAAGGCGTTCCCGTTCTTGTCTCTCGTCCAGTAGCTTCTCAAATCTGCCGCAGCAGAAAAAGTCAACATGCCAGTCACCACGAACAATGTCGTGCTGGACTTTAATATCTGACAGAACAAGTCCTCCGAAAAATCAATGTCTTCAAATTTATTCTGGATGACTGAACTTCATGCAACCAACTAAATCACAGCGTGCATGCAACCACATTCTCCATCACAAATTTTTGTCGCAATCCATTTTTTTTGTAGGTACTCGTGCATATTGATGAGTTCTGGATCTGTTGCCCTGCATTTGTTTCCTTCTGACGAGCTGACTTGACTACAGAACACACCATTGTAATTCCTCCTGCTATTAGAAACAATGCCAGAATGCTACAACATACTTTTTAGGTCCGAAGTTGATGAGATGCTTGGATTTTGACAGGAAGTTTGGCTTGGATTTATTTTGTCCTTCATAATTTTTCTTCAAGTGGGAAAAATCCACAGGAATACACAGCAAATCTGAGTACCCATCATTATATCGCTCGTCCTCACTTGCAGAGTCACGAATTGTTTGCCTCAGCAAGAAGATTTTCTTGCCAAAATATTAGCACCAGACATCAAATGACATTTTAGCCAGTAACTGCAGCCGTGTCCAAATATTATGGCTGTTGTTATGAGTATTAAATGTGTCTATGGACGCCCATGGTTGACATCCACAGCCACTTCCTAGTTTTTCCAAGCCCCAGCTAGTTGATTCAAACACTTCTCAAGCCAAACTTTTCTGTTCATCATCAGCTCTGTAACATCTGCAGCCAATCTCCTACATGTTTCACTCACAGCTGTCTGTCCACGTTGCCTCTGACATAGCACTGCAGCCACAGCGTCCCCCGCCGCAATCGCTCTAGTAGCCTCCTCATCTGGTAACCGCGCCAACAGCTCTGGATGAAGATGGCCGCCAGCTTCCTCTCCCGCTCACGCTGTAGCGCCCTCAGCTGCTTACGGCTGATCATTCCTCGCACTCCACACTGTTAGGATAAACAACCGTGTTGAAACAAACAGGCCCCCAAAAATCCACTGAGTCAAAAATGGGTCTGTTGTCATTTCTCAGACCTGCTGTGCACAGAAATTTGCTTAGTGAAGATGATGCCTGCGCAGAAAAATCAGGCTACCAGGTAAAATTCCACATACTGTGTATTTTCTCTGACCGGTTCCCAACTGATTTTCTGCTTAGCACATGAACTCACTACAGAGCATTTCTACCTTGAAGCTCTAAGAAACTGCACCCAGAACAAAGTACCGAGAACTTGCCTGCAATTTCAGAGTTGCATATTTCATCTGCAGGTAGCTCTGGCGCTGAAGGATTCCACGCATCCATTTCTGTATGGTGATGATTCTCTTCAGGACGTGACTGTGCAGGGCTTCCTGCAGCTTAAGCCGTTCACTCTCCCTCAGGAAAACCTGAAAGTAAGCACACAGGTTGATTCAAACTCTGCCAATCAATTAGGGCCTTTTTCTAAATCTCAGAGGCTTCTCCGTTTAGCAACATTGACCTCAAGGACCTCAGTTCCGTGGACTATGTTCCTAACCTCGATGACTAAGTCAAAGATGGATTTGGAACTGCTCTTTGAAAAACGCTGCTAGCAACTAGAATTTCATTGCATTTCTACGGAATCACTAATGGACCTTATGAACAGACTGAAGATTGTATTGCCTGAACAGGATGTAAGGATGGGCTGAAGGCAATGCAACTCAAAAGGTAAAGCTCTGCCTGACGATGTGACTTTTGTGGGCTTGTTCCCTGTCTCCCCATTATGCTGTGACCTCAATATCAGGGAACAGGAAGCAGTTCAGAAGTGACAGCTTCCATTGTGGGGCCTGTCCATGTCAAATGGCTACAACTGGGAGTAACACCTGTCTATGGGAAGTGGCTGCAGCCACTAACCAATGGCTTTCCACTGACACATGCAATCTTTCCAGCCACAGCCACAACTCTCAGACACAGACTCAATTTGAATGGCTTTGGAAATGGTACCCTTATCTTCAACACTTGGAACACTCAGACACAGACTCTGGCGCTTACCTTGGTTTTCCCAAGTTGATAGTGCTTGGGATCTAATTCCATCGTCTCCAAGAATTCTTGAATGTCTTGGAGGCAGGAATCCCTACCATTGGGTAACAGCAGGTGGTATCGATGGCTGAATTCCTGAACACAGAAAGAGATAAATGAAAACATCAATAGAAGGCCAAAGGGGTTCCACTCAAAGTCAAAGTCCTGGCAACACTCAACGTAACATCCTTCACATTTTCTAGCAAAGACTTCCAGAAACTTCATTAACCCTTCACTATGCAAACAGACTAAATTCACATGCTTCATGTTTATGTAAACTTCAAAGGTAAGGGGCACTGAGCCCCCTGTCAAGTAAAAGTGGCTGGGAAGACTTTCCTCAGTCCTACAAAATCCTTGCATGTCACGGTGGCATGAATTTTTATCCAGTATTTGAAGTTACCCATCACAGCCAAAAGATGGTAACCTATAACCTGCCCCTACTGCATTGCTCCCACACATTGTAGTGGTTACAAAAATATCACAGTAGTTAACCTCACAATCTATTCAAAATTCTACTCAACTTTCCAATATTATTTGTGAGTACAAATTGGCCGTGAACTAATGAAGTTTTTACCTCGAATGTGAGTCGTACGTTATAACCCGACTGCCTGATCCGGACAGTCTCCAGCATGCCAGTGTAGTGTAGTTGCCGCATCATTAGTGCCTCGTCAAGACGGCATGGCTCCTTGTTGGAGTTGGACTTGATGCAGCGGACAAAGAATGGGTTAGCCTGGTTCAGCGTCTCCATCAGCTTGCTGAGGGACAGCTGAGGGGACCAAGTGGAGATGAAAGGCTACATGAGAATCTTGAATCACAAATAGATATATCCCTGAAATGCAATGTCCAAAACTAAAACTACATGGACAATACACTTGACAGTGAACCAAGAAAAATGGAAAAACAAGATTGGTAAATATTCCCATGATTTATGTCTAGATGCATTTGTTCATAAACCAAACAAGTTTGGAACCAGTTCCTATGTTCTTTGAAAATGAAATGAAGTGAAAACCAAAATACATTTTTCTGAATGGAAACACAAACATTACAGGAAATGTTCTGCTTTCAGGGAAGCTGTAACGGACCACTGATTTTATAAGATGTGAAATAGGAAGGGGCATTAAAATAGAAACTTCAACACAATACACAGACAAGGAACCGATGGAAACAGAAACTAATCAATCATCCAATTCATCTTTTCAAATTAAAATGGGGGAGTCTCCTTCTCCAAACTTCTGTCAAACAAATCACTCTGTGCATGCCAGTCAGATATGCAAGACATCCAGGCCTCGACATTAACAGTTGTCCGATTGCCCGGGTCAAGTAATTTCTTCTTTCGGGCAAGTAAAAATTAAGGACAAATTGCCAGATGGACGGGTACTTTTTACTTGAAATAAAAGTGTCCGTTTTTCATAGCCAAGAATAGCAGTCAGCAAATTTACCTTTGATTTGTTTTTTCCTCTTCACAAAAGCTTATAAAAAGTGGTAAAAAGTAAACAGCTATGTGGTGTATGATGATTTTTTGCATCGTTACGTACATGTACATGTACAAACTTGCATTCATTATGCACACTGTACATTTAGCAGGGCACCTTTCCACACAAGGAAAAATGCACGTTACACAAATAAACTGTAAGATACCCTTGTGTCTGGGTACCAAACCTCATTGGTTATTGCACACGTGGCACAGCAGAGCTTTGACGGCCGGAAGCTCAAAGCCTGTTTTACGTGTGGCTGTGACCTAAACATTAGTGAATTTTGCCTGGTACTTGTGTGTGTACTTTTTGCATGATTGACACCAAGCAAAATCGTCCAGCAGTTAAGAAACAGCCGTTGCCTAAACTTGTTTGAATGATGCGTCAGACTCCTGTGCACTCCTTGCGTAGATGGATGCAATAGTTGGGGGTGATAATATATATATTCATGTCATATAGTGGCGAAGAAGGAATTTACTGTCCCGGGAAGCAATGAGCAACCAAACCAGGGTTTGGGCAAGTAAAACCTTACCTCGGGCAAGTAAATTTTCAGTGCTAATTGTCCAACGGACAACTAGTTCAAAAAATTAATGTTGAGGCCTGAAGACATCCCATAGACGAGACTAACCTGAAATTGGGCACTGACGGTAGGAGGTAACTTCTTGGTCGAGGAGCGACGGAAGCCCACCATCTTCCTACTCATCAGCTTCTTCATGGACTTCAAATCTCTCAAACCCTGGATAAAAAAACACACTAAAAGGTTCAACATCACTTCATCTGATTGTAAATCGACTTGTGTAAAAATCCCCATGAACAAGACCTACATGTACATGTACTTGTAAAGAAGTTGATTAAGCCAGAAAAAAGCAGAATTGTCACAGAGCACAGCAACTGATATGATTTTGGAATTTTACGGGGTCAACTGTTATAAATCTCATGTGACTTCAGTTCTCCTTTCAGCAAATACGATCAAGCTTTTTTTAAACTACAAATAAACAGGCGGGGGGGGCTGTGTTAAATCCGGAGGGAGTATATACCCCAAGATCTTAGCTGTCCCATGACTAATCTTTGGAAGTTTGCCAATTATGTAAGGCTATAGATCCATTACGAGTAAATCTGTGAAGTTTCAATTCAATCCAACAAAGCTATTTGTTATCATGGTCAGTTGTAGTTTGTATTCACAACTGTCGGCTGTGCACTGAAAACAATGGGAAAAGTTAGCATTTGGGGATTGTCTCTGAAAATCTGATATGTTGGGGGAATGATTTTAAGTAAATTGGTGTCAAAATGACTGTAGGACATCAGTATGAAAACTGATTGCCCTGCACTACGAACAACCAGCGCTGCACGGTGCGACCAAAACAGTTGCGTTCGCACCTAAAAAATAATGATGTGCGACCAAATGTTTAATTCTTATCGCCAATGGCAACCATGATTTGTGCCCATTAATCGCTCCCCTTGTCAGTCGTATTTCATGAACGATCGCTGCCCAGTTTTCTTCTATGTGCACCCAGCGATGTGTCTCTATATAATCACATGGTTTTTATCCGTCTTACTATGCACACAGCAACATCAACTGCAACGTAGCTTACATGAGGGTACATACACACATGTACAGGTACTGGGTACCCGAATCGACTGGTTGTGGTCGCACGTTGTATAATAGTATAGAGTTTGTATGGGGAGCTGAGGCATTTCGTGTATTCATAATGCACTAACAGTCTATGTACGCCATGATGCCAGTGCGATAAACTTGTTTCAGTCCCAAATGTACTTGAAGTTTGAAACCAAAGCTTCGGTTCCAGACACAGTATGAAATGTTCAAACGCAAGAGAACAAACTTGCCCTGTTTTTTATTTTTCAGTTTTTTTTTTCATATACATGTAATTGGTTGCCATTTTTTATTTATTCCACAAGCACAAAATCCAAAGCCTGTCTGTCCTGCGGATAATTGACAGAATAATGTTTCTGTGTGTTTTGTGAGATTTTGTACATGTAACTTGTGTAGTTTGCAAATGTGTGCACAGTATGTACAAAAATCGACCTGGCACCTAACTTTTTTTTCTAGGAGGGCAGTGGCTCCTCATTTTAATTTTCTTCAAAAAGCAAAACAACTATCTGTATATTACGATCACATCAGAGAAAATGTAAGAGACCCTCCCACCTGAGTCAAGGTCAGCACTGTGCGCTGACTTAAGCTGGAGCCGTAATTCATAGAGGCCAGGCTTAAAACCTGGTGCTCTCAGATTTTCTGTGTTCTTTCAAAAGTTTTCAAAACATTAAAATGACAACCAACATCTAACTTTCATGCCAACAATCTAATCTCATTACCTTTGCAGGTGCAGCTTGGGCCCCTCGGAAGGACTTGTTTTTCCTTCGGAATTAAACATAAGCATGTGTTACTCTGCTGAATATTACAGTACCAACTTCAACAAGAATTAAAAACTCAAGCAATGTTACATTGTTCAAATTGCGGTCAATTTTTGATGGCCCATGTCTTATCTTGAACACTGAGTAGCCACCAATTTCGTCCAGACTTCTTATCCAAACCAGTCTGTACCACGCTCGGCTATTTGTATGTGACTGATTATCTCAACAGACTGGACAAAAATAAGAAACACAGGTTGCAGAATTATATATATGGGTATGGACCAAGTTGTTAAATCACCGTTTCCTGTTTTCTAGGCCTTAAATGGATTGACAGAAAAATGGTTCAAGATGAGTAGCTTCCCATACTGTCTGAGCCATTACATCTTTAATACCCTAATGATAGATACCTATGTCTTAATTCAACGTTTTCAATTTAGAGTTCTTAATTCAATTTATTGATTCAAGTACTAAACAGATTGGATTTCCAGGTACATCAGAGTCCACAGAACTGTAATTCATTATTTTTCTGGATTTATGACCAGACTCAGCAGCACGTTTAGCAGAACCATGGCAGAGCGCCCTATTTGTATGGGGCTTAAATTTCTCATGGCTTTAACAGTAGATCTTTGTGCGCTCAAGGTCTAAATCTACCCAGGAGCTACTGACAGTGATCGTTATGGCAACTGTTACCTTGGATTTCCATTCAAATGGGACACGTGTCAAGAGTAAAATTGGCTGCCATGCTAGCTAAACCACCAGATAATTGCTGAACTTGTTTTTGTATACTATCCATTTTATGTGTAACTCTAGGATCAGCATTCCATGACAGAATTGATAACTTCACAATCATTTACCAGTTTGGTATGACATCCTGTGCATAATTTTCTCAAACAAAACGAGGAGGGCACTTGTTAATAAACTACCAACTGAACACACTGTGTGAGCACAAAAATGACAATATTTCTGACACAGAACTGCAAAGTCAACAATATTATCAACAGAGCACTAAAACTCAAAACAAGTGAGAAAAAAAATGCAATGATGTATCGAGCATGCCAAACATGAACGTAGCGGGTAAAAGCCCAGGGCTTGCTGCAGTTTATAAAAGGGCAAGCCCTAGTTAAGAAATGTACAAGACATCTTTCTCGGGCTGACAAAACTCACTGGAGATTTGCAATGGAAGCTGGACATGTATTTTGTTAGCATGAAGATGTCAGTATTGTGATGTGCCACGCTTCAAAACAGGCTTGACTTGCCCACAAATCAACAACTACCCCGGTGTCAGAAATATCCATCTCCGTAAAGTTTTTTTGCCTTGGTATTTTAGACATCCGAAGTTCAAGTTTTTCCTTTCCTTGCCATCTGAACGAGAGTCGACAAAAAAGGCTTTCTGACAACATCTGCTCGAACATGGAGACAGGGACAATGCTTAATTCAGATTTTTAAGCTGACAAACATGGCAATGAACCAGTTTCTTCTGGAGACGATGCTTGAAGCATCGCTAACAATAAATGTGAACTCTATGATAAATCACATCTCAGTTGTTTGCACTGGAAAATGTCCCCCTAAAGCATGTTAATTCTGAATGCAAAAGTAATGACAAAGTAAATCAAATATACAGTGAAAAGATTTCTAACAAAATGTACTTGTCAATCTTTCTAGTTACATGTTATTTAAAATCTCAAGTCATTAACCCCATCTCCGCATAGCACTGTTTACAGGAAGCTTATTTCAAAGAATGCTACACGTCAAGGCCAATGTACAAAAAAGGATACCAAAACTCAGCTATAATCAATAAACCAAATAAATCCAAACACAGGATTTGGGCTTTTGACTGGTTTGAGGAGGGTTAGCATTCCACCTACGGTACACGTATGTATGAGGAATGATTAAATTGGATTATTAAAATCTTTCAGTGTCCACTTCTTTACTATTGCCTAACATTTACTTTTAGTAAACCTGGTAAGCAGTGGATTTTCATGACAT